ATTTCTTCCCATCTGCTACTTTTAGGCTTGGCTTGTTGTTTTTCTAAGAGTTTGAGCTACATCATTAGGTTATTTGTAATTTCACTGATTTTTTTTTAGTGGATGCACTCATTGCAATAAACTTTCCTCTTAGCACTGCTTTTATAGTGTCCCACTGATAAGTTTCATTCTAGTTTGCTTCTAAGTTTTTGTTTTGTTTTATTTTGTTTCCCCCTAGTACTGGGGTTTGAGCTCAGGATCTACACCTTGAGCCACTCCACCAGACCTTTTTTTGTGTGTGATGGGTTTATTCAAGATAGGATCACACAAAACTATTTGCATGGGCTGGCTTCAAACCTCAGTCCTCCTGATCTCTGCTTCTTCAATTGCTAGATTACAGGTGCGAGCTACTGGTGCCTGGCCTAGGTGGTGGTTTGTGGGTTTTTTTTTTTTTTAATTGCCGCCTTTTTCTTCAGTGATCTGCTGATTATTCAGAAGTGAATTGTTCAGTTTGTGTGTTAGAATTTTTTTCTGTGGTTTCTACTGTTACTGATTTATAGTGTTATAGTATTGTGTTCTGGAGAACAGAAAGTTATTTCTTGTATTCATTAAGACTTGCATTATGTCCTAAAATATCTATTTTGGAGAAAGTTCCATGGGCTGCTAAGAAGACTGTTTCCTTGTTGACCTTTTGTCTGGATGACTGTCAGTTGCTGAGAGTGGGATATTAAAGTTGCCCACTATTACTAAGTTGTGGTCTATCTTAGCTTTTATGTCTAGTAATGTTTCCTTTATGAAATTGGCTGTGATAACATTTGATGGGAATATGTATACAGTAGTTAAATTCTCCAGATGAGAATTGTTCCTTTTATTAATATGAAGTGTCCTTCTTTGTCCCTTATAATTTTAAAGCCTGCTTGTTCTGATATGACTATAACTTCTCTTGCTTTTAGGCTTCATTTGTTTGGAAAATATTTTTCTATCTGTTCACTCACTTTAAGCTAGAGTTTGTCTTTTTCGGTAAGGTATGTTTCTTGTAGGCAACAGATGGTTGGCTCTTGTTTTTTAATCCAGTCCACAAGTCTGTCTGGTCAGAGTTATTATTGAAAGTATGGAATAATTCTTGCCATTTTGTTGTGTTTGTGGTGTTTGATTCTTTCCTCCTATTCATTTGCTTGTGTATTCATCTGGTGAGAATTTTTTTTTCCCCATATTTTCTTGGTTGTATTTATCTTCCTCTTCTGTGTGTAGGACTCCTTTGAGTATCTTTTGCAGTGTTAGTTTAGTGGCCATAAATTGCTTTGGTTTTTGCTTATCATGGAAGGTTTTTATTTTTCTTCAATTATGAATGAATGCTTTGCTGGATAGAGTAATCTAGGCTGGCAGTTATTTCTTAAAGAGCTCAAAATACATCATTCCATGCACTGTTTTTGCTTTTAAGGTTTCTGTTGAGAAATCTGCTATTGCTCTGATGGGTCTGCCCTTATAGGTAACTTGGCACTTCACCCTTTCAGCTTTCAATATTCTTTCCTTATTCTCTATAATTAATGTTTTAATTATAATATGATGTGGAAAGTTTCTATTCTGTTCTTATCTGTTTAGAATTCTAAAGGCCCTTTGTACCTAGATGGTCATCTTTCTCCAAATTTGTAAAGTTTTCTGCTGTTACTTTATTGAATATGTTTGCTATGGTCTTAGCTTGTACCTCTTCTTAAATACCTAGGATTCATAGATTTGGTCTTTTAATGGAGTCCCAGAATTCTTGCATATTCTGTTCATACCTCTTCATTCTTTTCTCTTTATCATTAGCTGATTTTTCTATTACACCTTCCTTGTCTTCAAGCCCTGATATTCTGTCTTCCATTTAATGTAGTCTGCTGGAGAGGCTTTCAAATGAATTTTTTATTTGACTTAAGAAGCTTCTCATTTCCAGAGCTTCAATTTGATTGTTTTTTTATTTTTTTAGGATTTCTAAATCTACTGAATTCCCCTTTCATGTCTTCCTTATTTCATTTAGCTGTCTATTTGTATTATTTTTTATTTTGTTGAGGTGTTTATTATGTCTTATTTCATCTCAACTCTCTTTTTTTATTTTTCCCTTGTCATACTGGGGATTGAAACACAGGGTCTTTCACATGCTAAGCAAGAGTTCTACCAGTTCTCATCATTCTTAGAGCTCAAAATTTGAGATTTCATCCCCTTCACTATCATTCAGATCCTTCATTGTGCAGTTGTTGCCCTTTTGCGACGTATCATGTTGTCTTGCTTTTTCATACTTCTTGTGTTTCTACATTGAGATTTCCTTGCCTGTGGTCAATTTGTTGTTTGGATGTTTAATCACCTGAAGTCTTTCCGTTGAATTATACTTTATATTCTAGCAGTGACAAGTAGTGGCAGGATTAATGTGCTGTTTCTCAGCACTGGCTTGGGTTTATAACCCTGTAATGATAAATTCATCAATTCAGTACCAACGTAGGTATTTATATGGAGTGGAAAACCATGGGTTACATAATCTGTGCAGTCATGTTATATTTGAAAGGAACTAACATTCTTATGTTACTGTAAGGAGTTAGAAAAAAATTATTTTATAGGAGTTAAAAATTAGGTAGTAAAAATAAAAGACAGTAAGGAGGAAGGAAGATGGGGAGGAGTGTATGAGCTGAAGGTAAATGAAATACTGTGCAGGAATATAGTTCAGTTATATCCATGCTATAGTCATGGATTTTTTTAAAGGGAAAGGTAAAATAAACCACCGAGTAGAAAAAGTTATAAATGAGAAATGGAAAAAGAATAAGAAAAAAATAAATATAGTGTATATTCTTTAAAAATAAGTACTTCTTCCTTGTTGAGGAAAAGAGTGTATGCCTGCTTGGCTCTACCATTACAGTGTGTGTTCTCAATGTCTGGTCCTCATCTTCCTGTCTGCAGTTCTGTTGTGTTTGCTCACATTTCGCTTTAGAGCCCTGCATTGTCTGGGTGCAGACTGATGTTGTGTTCTGCAGTGTGTTAAGGCTGTGGACCAGGGGCAGCTGCTGGAGTGAGACAGTGTAGGTCCTGTGAAGCAGCAATTCCCAGGGGTTTTGGTGTAGATGAGAAGGTTCCAGGAGTGTAGAGTAACAGTTGGGGGTAGGTATCAGGTGTCCAAACACAGCTAGTGGGTCCACTTGCACTCTACTAACTCTCAAAGCCTTGCCCTGCCCAGGGAATCTAGTGGCAACTGTTCAGTCCATAACAGGTTTTTCCACCTAGGTCTCCAGTTTAATGTTTCATTTGGAGAGTGAGGGGTAGATGGCTCCTATCATTTATTTATATACATACATGGCTGGGTTAGGTGGTTTAGTACTCTAGTCAACTGGCTTACTAGCTTCTGGGGCCACTCTATCCTGGGGTGAAGATTCAGATACCTAGAGGTTTCACCCATCTGCCAGACTTGGCCAGGAGGGAAGGCCTTTAATCAACCCACTTGGCTGAAAGTTTTCTTGAGGACAGTTGTATTAATGTCTACAGGCTGGCCAGGCCTGGGCAGAGTCCTTGGGGCTGAACTGTTTGCCCCATACATCTCACTTCTAATTGAAGATTGTCAGATATGTAAAGCAGGAAAATATGGCCCATAATGAGGACAAAAGTTCGATCAGTTAACACAAATATAAAAATGGCATACAAATTAGACAAGAGTATTAGAACTGTACTCCATATATTCAGAAAGTAAGATAGAGACATGGAAGGCGTTTTTTTAAGACTTAAATTGAAATGAGAATGAATGTCTAGGAAAAAAGTGAGAAAAGGTGGGATGATTTCATGAGTGCTATAAAAACTTTCAGGACTTAAGACTTAAATTAGTGAGTGACTAAATAATAACTTGGTCATTCTTCCCAAAATAATATGCAGTTTACATATAATTCAAATAGGAATCCAAATAGAATTTGTTTTTGGAATTGGTGAAAAATTCTGAGTTCACCCATAGGCTAAAAGGACTTACATATGAAAGGTGACAGAAGAAAATTACATGCGGTACAGAACTAGCAATTAAAAATGTGGCTTGGACATAAAATAAACATGCCACGGATGTGGCATCTGGCTTATTTCTGGGAGGAAAAGTTAGGTCCTATCTTCTACTCAAACTCCAGGAAACTAAATATTTAAATGTTTATGGAAAGGGTAAAATAAGCTGTCAAGTGCTTGAAGGAGAACACTGGCAAATGTACTCTTTGCATGAGGGATAACTTTCTAAGCATAGTACAAGGGAAAATGATACAGGAAACAATTGATAACAAGTAGACAGCTGACTTGAAAAAACTGTTAGCACACTCTGGGAAACAGCCACCATTTCACAAAGTTCAATGGAATGATTGTGTTTACATCCCAAAATGGAAGGGATTCCTGGAAAATCATTTTGGTAGCCTATGTTCTTAAGGTCATTCTTTTCATGACCAAGACAGATACTTTCATAAACTACAATATAGTTTTAAAAATATAAAATTTCATTTTTATTATTACATTCAACAGCTATGGTTAGTTTATTAATAAGAGTTCTGAACACTCTTAAGCCTTAAATACCTACATTACTGACTGAGCAGTTCTAGAAATTTATCCTAATGAGTAAAATTTAAGTTAGTATGTAAAATACCATAATATTAATGGGTAAAACTTTATAAAAGCACCCTAACTCTTAAGGTAGTAAAGTGGTTAAGTATGGTGTTTCCATGTTACTCAACTAATTAAATCACATTATCAAAGCATATTAAAAAGTAGAAAATTGTTCAGAATAATCCTGATACTAAATGAGTGGTGGAATATAAACAAAGGTGTAAAGGGCAGCCATGTGAAAGAAAGGAGGTTCTAATTTTAGTTTTTAAGTTTCTAAAATTGTGAATGAGCAAGACAGCATTGTGTGCTAATCTCTAAATCCTGAGATGTGCTAATTCTAGATATTGTGTAGGAATATGTGAATTAAAATTTACTGTGCACATTTTTAAATGCTGTAAGCTTTTTAAAAATGTTTTCTTTATATCTTTTTCTAGTTCTGCTTGAGATTTCAAGAATTTTGAATACTGGTTTAGATATGGAAACTCTGTCTATTTGCGTACGGCTTTGTGAACAAGGAATTAACCCAGAAGCTTTATCATCGGTTATTAAGGAGCTTCGGAAGGCTACTGAAGCACTAAAGGTTAGAGATTTATATTAGTTCATTCTCAGTAAAGATGCTTATTTTTAGAAGAATGATTAATGCTGGGGGCATGGCTCTAGTGGTAAGAGCACTTGCCTAGCAAGTGCAAGGCCTTGTGTTCAAACCCCAGTACTACCAAAAAAAGCCAATAAGAATAAAAGTATGACTAATGCTGAAGCTATGTGAAGATTCTAGTTAAACAAGAGTAAGCTAACTTCCAACAACAAGAGAAATTCTGAAGACCAGGAGCTTTGTAGTGTATGTTCAAATCACAAAAATTGCTATTATAAATGACATAATCTTTTCTCAGAAGTCTGTCTTTGTGGAGAGTAGAATTGTGTCTGCCCACAAAAAGATATACTCAAGCCCTAATCCCCGATACTGATAAATATGGCCTTATTTTGAAATACATTATTTGAATATGTAACCAAATTAAGATGAGGTCATACTGGATTAGGGTAGCTCCTAATTCAGTGATTGATATCTTTATTAGGTAAAGGAAATTTGAACACAGATAAACAGAAACAACACCATGTAAAGACCAGACACAGACAAGAGTAGGCCATTGGTGATGGAGGCAGAGATTAGAGTGATTTATCTGCAAACCATGGAAAGCCACTGATTAACAGAATCTAGGAAGAGGCAAGGAAGGATCTTCACCTACAACCTGAGAATACAGCCTAGCTAACTGACACCTTGATTTTGGACTTCTGGCCTCCAGAACTGTGAAAATACAAATTTCTGCTGTTTTCAGCAACCCACTTTATGGATACCCTAGAAATCTAATAGCAGATTTTAATACTGGAACAAATACCTAAAAATGTGGACTTGGCTTTGGAATTGGATCATGGATAGAGACTAAAAAGTTTAAGTACATAATAGAGAAAGTTTAGATTACCATGAAGAGACTGTTGGTAGAACTGGAAATATTAAAGGCTGTTCTGATAGCTGCTCAGAAAGAAAAGACAACCGCAGGGAAAAAAATTCAGTTGTTCCAAAGAATACACGTAAGATTAGGGAGCAGAATGTTGGTGGAAGTACAGATATCAAAAGCTCTTCTGGTGAAGCCTCAGATACAAAGAACATTTATTGAACACGGAAGGAATGGTTATGCTTACTATAAAGTGACAGAACTTGGTTGACTTATGATCTGTTTTTGGGAAGAAAATAGAACATAGAAGCAATGAACTTGGAGATTGAGCTGAGAAAATTTCTAAGCTAAGTGTGAAAATGCAGCCTGATTTCTCTTTGTTGTTTATAATAAAATATGAGAGGAATGACAAATTGAGGAAGGATCTGCTAAGAGAAAAGAGACCAGCACTTGATTTGGAAAATTCACAGCCTGCCTGAATAGTATGCTCAGGTGATAGGGCTAAGAGTGTGGCTAGGCAACTTTTTTGTGAAGGGGTTAGGTATGTGATAGTCCCATTTCAGCCATCTCTGCACAAACACTTCCAGCTTGGAATGAATAGGACAGGATAAAATGAAGGAAGATTGTAATTAACTGGAATTCTGTAGGCAGGAAAAGCTACTTAGCTGTGACCATGTGTCTTCCTTCAAGAAAAGGAAAAGTGACTCAAGACTATAGGAGACTGCTATATCCACCATGAGCCCAGAGGGCTACCTTTTTCCAAATTTGATCTAATCACCTTTTAATTACTTAGATTGGAGCTGGGTGCCAGTGGCTCACTCCTAACTTTTTGGGAGGCTGAGATCAGGAGGATTGTGGCAAATAGTTCGTGAGGCCCCCCATCTCCAAAATGACCAGAGCAAAATAGACTGGAGATGTGACTCAAGTGGTAGAGCGCCTGCTATGTAAGCGTGAAACCCTGAGTTCAAACTCCAGTCCTACCAAAAGAAAAAAAGACTAAGATTAGAAACAGGAGAACTATCTTGTTTCCTCTCTTGCTTGCACACATTCTCTGATTTAAAATCTTTGATGATCTTGTTTAAATATTTATGTAGTATTAAGCATGAGTAGTGAAACTTTTAAGTTATTACTTAAAACTTCTCTTTTTATTGCTGGGAAATTGAAAATTATATGAAATACATAACTTACCATTTTTCAGATTAAGTTATTTTCCAAAAAGTTCTGAAGTTTTTGGTTGGTTGTATTCTTTATAATAAGCCTTTTGGTTATTAAATCTAACACAGAAAAATAAAACACATTAAAAAAAAGATTTGTCATAAAGAAAATATTCATACAGTTGTCTCTGCAGTCACTCTCCCTTTTATCCCTCTTGCTCTTCCCTGCAGTAAGTACTATCCTGACTTCTATAGTAGACACTTCGAGCAGTTTTGCTAACTAACATGGATCTCTAAACGTATAAATGAAATCTCATGATAGTCTTTTTACTGGGTTCTTTCATTTCACATTATGTCTATATATATAATGTTGTAAAGCATTCCTTTTCTCTGAAAAATGTTTTTATTCTACAGATACCACAATTGATTTATCTTGTACACTGTGCCCAGATTGTGTTATTTCAAATGTGGGACTATTCCAAATAATGCTATTTTGAGCATTATAGTCCGTGTCTGTTGATGTGGGTATATGTGCATTTAATTTTTCTAAAAGTCAAATTGTTGGGGCTTAGGTTTTATGTATCTTAAAACTAGAATAGATAATTACAATGCCGAACTTTTTAGAAAAAATTGCTTATGAGTTTCTCTTTTATTCATATCTTTGCCCATGTTCATTATTAGGAGCCATTTAATTTCAGTCATTATGGGGTTTGTATGGGTTTCTCATTTAGTTTTATTTACATTTGTGAACTTTTTTTTTTTTTTGTGGCACTGGGTTTTGAACTCAGGGTCTCACACTTGCTAGGTAGGCACTCTACCACTTGAGCCACTCCACTAGCTAGTTTTATTTGTATTATGTATACCAGTGAGGCTGAGTTTTTCAGCCAGCTGTTTTTGTAGGTACCTACTTATTTTTCTGTGTTGTCTTATTTAAATTGATATTATGGCTTTCATAGCAGGAAGAAAAATAATTGGACAATAAGAATAGATAATATTTACATTAATCCTTTCCTTGTGCTAGATCCTATGCTTTAACAGCTGTACTGGCATTATTTCCTCTAGTCACACAGTGATTTGTTCTCCTACTACTAGTGTTAGTAGTGTATGCTAAGAAACTGAACTTTGTGATGACTAACTTACCCCAAGTACTAGCAGTAAGTGGTTAGGCTGGGATTGTAACTAGAGCAGTCTTGACTTCAGAGTGACTTAAGACTATGAGCCAGCTATTGAGGAAAGAATGAAGTGGTTATTAGAAGCGAGGCAGTCATTGGGCTATTGCCTGGTAACATCCCTTGGCTCAGTATTCTCTCATAATTCTGCTGAGGAAAAAAAAAAATACAACCATCTTTCACCTGTATGTTTCTCAGTTCTAGTGGAAGATTGGTATAATGAACATCTTCCACAACTGCAAGAATTTTTGTTGTATTATGCTTGTGTGAAAAAGAATAGGCAGAATGGGAAGTGGTGTGGGTACTGTACTGCAGTTTGAGAGCTGTAATGGAACCCAAATCACACAAACCCAATTGAGACAGTGGCACATGTGACCTCTTTGACCTAGTATTTCTTAGTCAGTGTACAACCCTGTTATGTGTATTAGAATAGGATTTTCAGAAATGCCTATTTGACATAACTTTTTCAGCTTTGAGCATTCTTATTATGGAGCGTAGTGAGATGTGGAAGGTAGAATCAATAAAATTAGCAGAATCAGAAATTGTTGGCCATTTGAATGGAAGATCAGTCTCTCTCATAAATCCCCTAAGACACATTATCCCATTATCTAAACCTAATATGCTAACATTTCGTCAATAGTTGAGAGGAAGGAAAGCCTGGAAAGTTTCTAACTAAGAAATGTTAAGTAGAACTTTTTGTGTCTTTTCTTTAAAGTAATTATGTAATTATATAATTTTTATAAAAACTATATATGCTCATGATTTAAAAATATTTATATCAGAGGGCTGGAGATGTGGCTTAAGTGATAGAGCACTTGCCTAGCATGCATGAGGCCCTGAGTTTAAACACCAGTACTACTAAAAAAAAAAAAAAAAAAAAAAAAGAAAATTCAAGAGTATGAAACAAATCATTCAAGATCACTCAAGAGATAACTAGAGATGATATTTGATGAACATCATTCCAGGTAGCATAGTGCTGTTTTGGAAATAAAAATATACTTAATTTCACTTAACTATAAAAGACTTGTCAGTTTACTTCTTATTTTAGAGTCTATTCTCTTAACTGCCACTGTGGGATGGAGTGGGCAGCTGGAGGGCTCAGAGCTACGCTGAGCACACTGACTTCCTTTGACCACCATTTCAGACTTTACAAGCATCAGGTTGTTCGTTCTTTGTACAGTTGCAGCTAATGGAATTTTTTCTCATACTTTTTTGTTTCTTTTGGTATTGAAATTAGGGTTAAGAAAAACTATTCCTGCCATATTCTACTGTTTTTAGTTGGAATTCCTATTATTTAGAATTTAATTGCATAGTACTCACTGCCTTTGTCTTAGAATGTGTAAAATATAAATCAGAGACATTTTGAAATGTTGCAAGGAATCATTTCAGTCATTGTTTCTTGCTCTTTAGTTAACTATATAGAAAATAGTAACAATTTCTATTATTTTATCTTTCATTTTCATAGATTTGTACATTGGTGATGTTTAAGTCATTTGTAGTAAAAGTAGTTAGCTTGTGTCTTTCCAATTAAAATAGATAGGTCTGCTTTTGTGTAAGATAAGGTAAAACAGCAAAGTAGGAGTCAATTATGACTTTATTGACACTGAATTTTTATATTAGCTCTTTAGTCCTAGAATTTGTGGGTAAGCAAACATCTACATACTGGGAAATTATTGGCCAAACATACTTTTCAGCATCTTCTCTTTTAGTATGATGGTGTCTTGAATTATATCATTATTGGCACATTCATGTAGACTGAGCCTTGCCCTTTCTCCTATAGATGCCCTGTACTCTACTAGGACACATGTGGTGTATCCCTACTCTATAGGACAGTCTGTAGCTTGAGGATATTGAAGTTGTAGAATTTGGAGTAGGTGAGGAATGAAGGATTGAATAAATCCTTCATTTATCCCCCACCCAACCTCCCAAGGGAGGGAGCAAAACCACACCCTGAAAAAGAAAATTTGGAAAAGAGGACTACTAAATTTGATGTTTTCCCTGGACTGATCCTTGCAAATTTTGAGTGTTTGGTGGTAATCTGTTAACTGTATAGGTCTCTAGAACATTGTTGTTATCCTTTCAGATAAAAAGTTAAGCATTTATTTAATAAGAATGATACAGCATTGCTTAAAATGAAAAAACTTTCATTGTCTATCTGCTGCTGAACCTCCACAGTTAGTATGAAAACAGGATAAGACAAATTACATTTGAATTAAGATATATTGGTTTAAAAATCAAAATCAAGCACATATGTAATTTCAAGTCTTTGAATAAGGTAATGCTGAGAGTGGAGACAGTACCTAAAGAGTATATAGCTAAAGCTAATACAGGAACTTACAAGGATGGAAAGAAGTAACAAATGTCTTAGAACAATGGGATTTTCTAAGGACTACATTCTAATTCTCTCGAGTAATAAATCCAGTGAAAGGAAAGGCTAATTTAGAATAGCCCATGAGTCAACTATATTATAGAAATCAAGGTCAATTCTATTGGCAACAAAGACAAAGTCTCAGCCTTATTTCAGATTGTATTATTTGTAATTTTCCCAGTGTTTTGCAGGATTTTCATGAACAAACCCTGTATTAAGACCAAACTGAAAGCAAGTTTCAATTTTTATATTAGAAATGTAAATCTATTAAAAATCTACATTTCTAAAATTAAGTCTGTTGTTTTCATATTGGCATTAAGAAATAATTTTGGGGATGTGGTAACGTACTTTTAAGTCTTTTTAGAAACAGACATTATTTAGAGTCACCTAGAAAGCGTAGTAGTTTGGAGTGAGGTGAGACAAGATTTAGCCCAGATGTTCATTTTTCTTCTTTTGCCCTTGTTCTCTCCAATTTATAGCATGGAAGGTCTTTTTCATTCTTAATTCCCTTTTGCACTATAATGAACATAGGAAGCAAACTAATGAAGGCTGTGGAACAAGAGCTGTCATAGGTTAATTCTTCAAGTTGCAGTACATGCATTTTTAAGTAGTATTTAAGATGGTATTGCTATTTTCTACTCTTAGCCTATCAGTAAGTTCAGAAGGTATTCCTGGTATACTGCAAAAAAAATGAAGATCATTGTATTGTGTTGTTAAATGTAATACACTATTCACTATAGTGTCTCTTTTTCCATGGTTTTTTTCTTAATGCATCTTACTTTTTTGTTCTAGGCTTCTGAAAATACAGCCAGCTGACTTTCTGGAGAAATCCTGATGAGATATGTCAAGCTCTGCAAGAGAATTTGAAGATTGCATTATAGTCAAGAATGTACAGTGAAATTACTGCATGCAGCAGTGTAGAAAAATTTCCTTTTTAAAAAGAATTATAAAACCATAGCTTTATAAATCAAAGGAAAGTGGCTTACAAACTATCAGATGTGTTCACATCACATCTCGTTCCTTTTTTAAACGTCCATAATGCTTTGGCATTGCTGTGTTCGTATTTATGTATTCCTTATTTATAACTCTGATAGCTTTGATTTTCTAAGTAGTCTGTCTATCACATGTGCACATCTGCTGTGCCTGTATGAAGTATAGTGGAACCCATCACTAGTGATGTGTAGTAGTTATGACTTGTTGACATTTCCATTATAAACTTTAATTTTGAATTGTTGATGCATAATAACTACAGATTTATGTTGTGGTGGGCTGAAAGTTACACAGGACTTCAGCCACCATTTGTGAGTTGTGATTCAGATTCCTTATGTATTCTACATCTTATTTTTTAAAATAAGAGTATAGAAGACGTTTCTTGAAATCTGCTCTTTGACAGAGAATATTTAGTTTTTTAAATAGGTTCTGGGCAGTTAAAAGTGTGAACCAGATCTTTTTTGTATTGACTGAAAAATAAAACTTCTAGACACTTGGATTTTAAGAGTATTGACAGTACTTAGTTAGTATTATTTGTAGTTGGAATCATTTAAGTCTTATAATCTAAGTTTTATACACTATAAAGGCTTAGAAAATAATGTATATAATGAAAAATAACCAACATGTAGAATTCCTTTTTACTTTAATTTCATAAAAGTAATTGGAATACTTGAGCGCTCATTTAACAAATCACTAGATAGGTGTGTGTTTCAACAAATTTGTAATGCTTCCTGAACTAAGGATTTCTAGTCATTAAACAAAAACTAATGAAATGTGTATCCGTGATTTTAAATACGGCTTTTAAAAATAATTTTGTGTCATTGGTTTTACCAATGATTTAGTTTTAACTCATCAAAGTGATAGTTCAAAAATAAAATTCTAGAATTTTAGGACAGGATTGCTTCTGTTACTATAACAGAATCTCAGAGAAACTTTTTGCAAGGATTTAATCTGATTGTTGTTTCTTAAATTTTAACTCTTGTTAGATACTATTTAAATGATGGTACAAGCATTCATTCTTCGATGGCATTTTTTGTTCAGACAAGCTAAAGTGGTTTTAATAATATTTAGTAATACTTAAATAGCCACCTTTCTGTTTTTTAAATAATCTTTTGGCCAAGCACAGAGGTGCATGCCTTTAGTCACTGCTACTGGGGAGGCAGAAGAATCATGAGTTTGAGGCTGCATGGGTTACATAAGAGACCTTGCCTGAAAAAAGAAAAAAAAAAAATCTAGGTTTTTTAGCATTTTGACTTTTTAAATGCATGGCATCTTCACCAAGTAAACTGAAAAGACTGTTATTGAGAGAACAACTTGGGAGACAGTAAGAACTTAGGAGAAGCACTTGCTAATAAACATTGCAAATACTGTGCTGCATGTTATTTAAAAATCAAAGAGAAAACTTTCCTCAGTCTCAAATGTGTATATACTTGTAGACTGTAAGAGTTGATAGTTTTATTTATGATTTTGTAGGTTAAGTTATTTATGTATGAAACAAAGTAGGGAAATATATTGAGAAGATTATGTTTATAGAGGGCTTCTTTAATGTGTCACATTTCTTAAATGTTAACATATTTTTAATGCATACTTAAGTAATACTTAAGAAACCAAACAAAATGATAACAATTGCAGTGTCATACATGTTGTCAATGACAAAAAATAAAATCATTTTGATGGTATTGACATGTACTTTTGATTTAATATATGTTTCTGTGAGTTCAATTGGGTTTCTGTAGGTTAGGCTACAGATACTAAGATGCTTGTTATGTGTGATTTCAGACTTTTTAAAGGTAGGTTATGTAATTTGCAACTTAAATAGGCTTGAGGGATAAAATGGAATGCTTTTCCCCATTAGTGAGAGGAGATAACTGTATTAATATTGTCTAATAGGTTTCGTGTTTAAAAAAGCCTTTATTAATACAGACTTGAAAACAAAGTTGGCAATTCAAAGATGTGTAAGATTATGTTTTTCTATACTTCAAATATGAGTTTATTTACATAGTGGGTCATTATGAAATTTATATACATATTCTAAATATACATAAAGATGTTCTAATAACTGAATCAAGTGTCAATTTTTTAACATTTAATTACAGCCAAAAACTCAGTTCCTGTCTCATTCAGTATGCTTTTTATTATAGCAAAAAAAATACATAAAATTTTCTGCTTTAATATTTTTAATTTGAGTGTCTTACTGACATTAAGAATATTCATACTGTTTTACAACCCTTACCATTCCATCTTTAAAACTGTCTCATGATCCCAAGCTGAAACTCCAAACTGAAGAAGCAGTAATTCCCCATTCCTCCTTCCTTGCAGCCCCTGACAAACGTTTTTCTACTTTCCATCAACTTGATTATTCTGGCCATATCATAAGTTGAATCATAAAATGTCTGACCTTGATGTATCTTATTTCACATTGCATAACGTCTTCAAGATTCATCGTGTTGTAGCATATATCAGAATTTTCTTTTTAAACTTAATTAACACGTGAGATTTAGTGGAGGGTTACTGGGGGCAAATAGAGAAGAAATTAGGGTGACTTTCTAAACCTGGGTGTACCCACGTGAATAATAAACAGCAAATGGAAATCTGATTTTCACTAAAAATGAATTTTATTTTAGAAGTATAGTATTTGGCATATATTAATCTCACTCTTACCAACCTTCCAAAGACCTTTACATGTTTTTTTGTCCTGCATTTAGCACTTGTTAGCAGTATACAACTTAGTGAACAACAACTTAGGAAGCCCCACAGGGCAGTTTTCTTGGTCTTGCTCATTGATGTATCTCAAGTGTCTTAAATAGTGCATAGCACAAAGTGCTTAGTAAATACATGTTGACTGAATGAATGGACAGACGACATCTAAGAGAAGACATCTACCATGTGACTGAAAAATTATAACTAGCATTGAGAGCTTGCTACATGCAAGGCACTGGTTTCAATGCTATAATTATTTAAAATTGTTTAATCCTTAGGCTTCCAGCAAATGCAGAAGGCAGCATCAGCTCATGGCATATAATGAAGCTGAGGCACTAAGCAAATAGCTTAATTACGGAAGTAGTAGAACCAAGATGGGAACCCAGGTAAGGCGACTCTAGAGTCCACACACCTCTCACTGAATTAACATCTCGGGGGATGGAGAGGTGAAATGAGAGAACAAAAGTAGAGTGGGAGCCAGATGACCAAAGTGGTAGTATAGAAACTTTGGAAGTAGATTTGAGAACAAGGCTGACTAATAACTCATGCTCCCTTTCCCAGGCTGCCCTGTTCTTCCTGATGATGTGCTGTTGCTGATGATGGTGGGCTGATGAATTGTGGTAGCATCTCATTAGCTCTCTTAATGCCTTTTAATTAGGACAATATAAAGCAATAATAGGTTAAAGCCATTCAATTTCCAGAAATACTGTTCTTGGAGAATCCAGTTCTAACCAAAACCAAAACATTTTTGTGGGATTCTGTTTTGGTTGGAACAGCCCTAAACGACAGCCTCGTGAAGTCCGTTTACAAATACCAGTGTCCGTTAGAATACAGTATATTGAAGTATCTTGTGGGTCCTCAGTAGCTGAGTGGGAATGAAGGCATGTTTTATTGAAAGTCTACATTTTTACCTCTACTGAAAGCAATAAACTGCCAGATGTACACTTGGAGAGTTACATGAGAAGCCTTTAAAGAGGCTTTTCTGATAATTACACTTTCAAGAGTTAGTACTGGAAAAAACTCACCAATTAAATGATTTAGAGATGCATCTACCCGCTTTCCTTCCAGCAAATGGCCTTTTTATTATAACAGTTATAATTTATACTTGAATTTGCTGACTACCGTACATTGAAATATTTAAATTAATATAAATTTAAAAAAAAAAATTTCTGACTTGATCAAAATAGTCTGTTGGTCAAACTAGTCTAAAATATCACCCACCTTTGTGTCACACCATTCAACAAGAAAAAAGGAACTACATGACTGCTCAGGAAGGAAACAATTTAAACTTTCCTTAGTTCTAGGTCTGGTGGGGTGGCACAAGTGGTAGTTTTGAGTTCAAACCCCAGTGCTCCCCCCCACCCCCCACCCCTGCCAATAAAAGTTCTCTCAAGCTTCCTTAGGGTTAGGGTTAGGTATTTGTTAGTCAAACAATGTCTGGTGAACCTCCAGGAAAACCAAGGTCAGCAGTGGAAATTGACTTGCTTGTGAGATGATGGTGTGTTTGAAATGATGGTGAGTTCAGCATTGTGGGGAGCTTGCACGTGACGTTTAACTACATCACCTCTCCAGACCCTGGTTTCTTCTGTTCCATCACGTGAGCTTTCACCTGGATCACGTTTGTGCCCCTACAGTCCACATTTCCTCTAGCATCTTTATGTTGGCTTTTTTTAGCCACACCTGTAGACCACTGAGGTATTTGAGCATTTTTCTTTAGGCTCTTTTTTTTTTCATTTTAAAAATTAAGTTACATGACTACTAAGGTGGAAAATGTGGCTGAAGTGGAAGAACACTTGCTTAGTGTACATGAGGTCATGAGTTCATGTACATGGATTCTGAGACCCACTTTTCCTGTGAGAGAAGGAAATGAGCAAGTGTTAGAGATACAGCACAGAACAAAGTTTCCCCCTAGTGGTATCAGAAGGATTTGAAGATTATCAAAAAGAAATCAACTTCTTCGCTATGGCACATAGCATTTTAAATGGAATGTCCCATATGTCACCTCTTTGCAACCCATCCCAGGTTTTGGGAAACCACTTAAATCATCCCCAAGACTCCTTTTGGCTCCAGTCTTACCTGATGGACAGCTCTGGTATTAGAGTCACATAGACTTGGATTCTGCATGCTTTCTCCAAGTCTGTTTCCTGGTCAATAGGAAAAGAAAACATAACAGTTGGCAGTGGTCTGAATATTAAACAGAGATCATACGTAAAATCCATAGCATAGCACCTAGCACGCAGTAGGGAATAAATAAATGTTTTATATGAATTGGATTTACCTAGCAGCTTAATTTCAGAAGCAGCCACCTGTACTCATCTCATCAGTGAAGTCAAACCTGTGTTCAGAAGCTTTTATTCTTATGTACTCTCTTTTGGAAACAAAATGTATTGAAATAGAAGCATATGCTGTGTTTGTACAGGGAGAAAAATCAAGACACCATACTAATAAAAATGAAAAATTAATGTGTAGCTAAATTTTGGTGTCAAGACTTGCATAGCTAATCAGAGAAAGGAGTCCATGGGGATGAGAATGTGTTGGGAGGAATAAGTAAAGATTATGAATAAATTTTAAATCTCTGTTTTCATCATAAAAAGCTCATTGTTCTCAGTTGCTTCTGATAAACCCAATGGGAATATCAGTGGTCTTTGTTCCTGGTGAGGAATACTGAGATCCACCATGTAAAATACAAGAAACAACTGGCTGAATGAAAGCTTCCTTGGAACTCAGAAAGTTGGGGCCAGGTGGGGGGTGGGGGTAGGGAGGCAGTCAGATTGCTCTGTAAGGTATTATTTCAGCCCCGCATGAACATTCCTGCTTTCACCAACTTTACCTGAGAGAAAGGCTGTTAACAATCAAGTCCAAGTTTAGGGAGAGATTTCTTGTAGAATAAAGACAACATGCTTTAATTTTACAAA